ACGTGCAAACGGGTGAACGATATTCGCGGGTGAGTGGAGTGAGATGTCAGATCCGAGCGACCGATAAACACCGTAGCACGGACGCGCCTAAGTGAATGAATGAACGAGACTTTCACTTGTCCTAGAGCACCGATGATTAGACAGGTCGCTTGCCAAAGGTCATCGTAACCCGGGTCTAAGGCCAGTTCGTGAGATGCACTTGTAGTTTATGAAGCGTTAACTGCTTGAGAGTTGCCGTAATTCCTATAGGCTGGTGTCTATGGCTTTCGGTTGGCTGAACAGGAGTGAATTTCCAAGTAAACTCCCGTCTCGCCTACTGGAAAATTTGCGCGAGAACCCGCTCAAAAATAGTGCGTGTATCTTAGACAAGTCAAACGTTGGCCCAGTGTTATCATCGCTGGAACTTTTTCATTCTTAATCTCCCACATGGCGCACTGTTCCGTAACCGACTATCCTGTGGTTCTCTACAACTTCGGCTATACAGCAGGCGTGCCTTCACCACACGGATGGACTGGACATAACAACAAGATCATTACTAAAAGTGCAAGACAATGTGAAACGATGGAGTAATCGGACTATCGTACTATCAACATAGCAACATGACATTAAATTGATACTAGGACACCTTAAATTCAAAAGATAGGCTTCATAAATCACGGTAAACGTTTAAACGCAGAATCAATTACCTGGATTTTACGTGAATGTTCCCTTACTTTCTCTCTTTTAAAGTATATTATTTGCCCATGGGGATTTCCCCTTCTACTGGAATTCACATTGTGTAATAAAAAAATGTCATTTGTCAATGTTTCTTACGTAGAAATACTCATTCTGAAAACGAGTGACTGTTTTTAACAAACAGATCGACTGCGTTCTGTATCGTTCAGTTCTGTGGCTGAGCCAGGAATGGGCGAGGTGCACTTAGGGTGTAACTGGTTTTGGTTGCTAAGCCATGGACGACAGCCAGCTCATTCACCCAAATTCACCTCAAGAAACCCAACCTCTGTCACTGAACGAATATTGTTATTCACATTGCCCCATGATTCTCTTACATCGCTCGGATCGCACCGTAAGCCCAAAACTGGGCCCTGGTCGTAGTTACTGTGGTCAGCTTTGATTATTGAGCTATCGTCAATGTTAGAACAACTACGAACAAATGTACTATAGCTGTAGTGGGCACGGCACAGTGCATCACCCTTCATGCTTATCGAGTGGAGCTAATAGCATGGCTTCACCGACCCACCGATTCGAAGTCCGTCACAGAGCTCGATAAGATGCACGACTGAGGTGCGCTGAAAGGAAGCGGATCCAACCACAGCAATTTTTCCTCAATTCCAAGTTACGATTTCTCTATTCAAAATAACGGTTTCGCAAATGAAAATTGTAGTTTCTCAAATCTAACTTGAAATAGTGTAGTTGAACTCAGTCCGACGAACAATGGTCATGATGAATGCATCAATCGGTTTGAACATACACTGTTAACAACAGAAGCGAACAAACATATAAATGTCTACAGACACTAATGACACACGTTTTCACTAGAAAATCATGAATAGATTACACAACGAAAAATCAATTTGAATATAGGAAGGAAGTCAATGTTCTGAGTATACCCAGATATGTCACTCATTTTAGATGTTATTTCCTTCTCGCTGTATTCGAACTGGTTCACCTCCATTTTCCTTGAATAGATTACCAATGATCTGATTATTATAGCTAAAACAGTTGTATATTATGGTGAACGTCATACAATCAGTTCTGTGGTTTGCCTAACGTTGCAACGGAATGCAGGAATATCTGAAATTAATATGGGATAATTGGGTCGAAAAAGTTACCCGGATGAAAGATAGGTAGTTTCGGGATAACTAGACACATAGAACTGAAAAGGGCTGAATACCGCACGCAATTTACCGATATTAAGCTGAGGGCGTCATTAAAGATTTATATTTATTCTATACATAAAGGATACGCAGGACGGCAGATCTAACTTTCGTCATAAATAAACAGTTTATAAGCATAACTATTGGAAACAACTAACGGGATTAAACTACTTGTCATCTTTCCGGTTTATTTTGTCACGAATTTGTCCATTGATTTTTATACTACTTATTAGCATCTACTACTGTTTACCCTGCTATGTCACAGTTCCTGGAATTTACCCACTTTTTCGAATTCCCGAGGGGTGCGACATAGTAGGAGATTGGTTGTATCTCATCATTGAACGGTAGTAGTTGGTCCTGAAGTCTCACCATGCGTAGCGCGCACTTTTCTTCGTTTCACCTGAACAAAGCATATGAGTGTTTTACGGGCATTTACACGTCAACTTAACGGGCAACTGTTTATCATGTATCGGTTTTTGTCCTTGACGGCCGAATAATGTACACCCCATGACTTGACCGAAAAATATCCAAGGAAGAATATCAACCCGTCTTTCATTCCATTCATTTCTCACAAAGCAAAGGTGCTATTAGTCAGTCGATGGGAAAAAGGTCGAGGCCGTTTGAATCCCGCGGATCGATAAATGGACAAAAGGGTCTTCATCTCATATAATTGAAACCTGTCCGTGATCACTTGTTCTGATTAGTTAAAAGTCCCATGATTCATATACGTTTTACCCCAAAATACACAAACGTTATCGTTTGTTTCTATAGTGTGAACGAAAATTACGATTTTGTTTTGTGTGAAATGTACTCGGTATTGGGGTGCGGACGAATCCGATTGAATGGTTTTTCAAGATTATCCGAACTGATGGACGAGTCAGAGTTGGCCGACGAAGGAATAGAGTTGTGTATGGTGATTATTTGTTATCTCGGACAAGAAATAACGTGAGGTTAAGCAATTTGATAGAATTATTTCGGGACTCCGAATGTCCAGGCGAAAACCCTCACTTCTCACAAGGAACTAAAGGATTAATGGTACCACGGTCTCTGATATGTGTAAATTCAATTGGTCTGTGTGTATGCGGAAGAGAGTGTCGCATGTTTCCAGCAAATAAATAAGTCTTTGTAAGTGAAAACTATTGATAAAAACTATTCATGTACTACATTACCTTCTATGTTGTATCCTGGCTAGAATCATGTCAAAGGTATTTCATTGTGCGCCGCACAATTGCATCCCAACCCACTCCTAGAGCTAACAGTGTGACGCACAAACCCGAAAGTCAATAAGAGTACTATCCTGCCACAAGAGGAAAAAAAACTGATTTTGATGAAGTGCTGCGCATGGTTGCAACAACAATAACAGCAACAACAACAAATAGCAACCATATCAGCGTAAACAATAACGACTACCTACGTGCTACACATTCGCGATTTATAGCACCTGTCGGGTTGGCATGCATAGTTGAGAAAACTTTACCCCGATCGACAGGCCAGCAAGAGGTCATACCCACTCAGCAAGACAGTAACTATATCGTGCTGAAAAGACACAAAACGCTTTGTGAACTTTCCGAAATATATGATAAACCTTCTTGTTCGAATTGTGGATTAAAAGTGGTGAGATGTTTTTTCGATTGCTCAAAGATGAACTGAACTGTGTAACTGTAAAACGTCCCAACTTTCATTTGCTTCGTCCACTTCCAACTTGACGCCATTATCAACTCAGCTCAGTCTGAAAAGACCCCTTTGTTGCTGTCACTTACTGCCTACAAGCTAAGACCACGTGAAGTTCGCTCATGTGAAAGCACTCACTGAAGTACATAAGCGCTCCTCTCTCGTCGTGTAACAAAAGATGCCCAAACGATATCAAATAATAAATAAATAAATGGGATTGTCCCAACAGGATTGACATTTGTCCGTTCACACCTGGAATGAGAAAATTTCTCGCCTGGAGCGGGGCAACGGGGCGGAACTATTAGGTGATAGCGTATCTGACATAGCAGAGAAAAAGGTACAAAATCACCACAGGTACATTTGGGACCACATTTCAATGTGAACCGGTGTGTTGGTGTGGTGCTCGAGCGTGCGCGCGCGCATACACTGGCCCCAGCTGCCGAAGTGACAATTTAAAGTACACTGATAAATCCAAAAAGTCAAGGACCTTGTTTCGAGAACCGTTATTTTCCCCCAGGGGCTTGGACATGTACCCGACCGAGTTTGCTGGTCCACCCCAGATTCTTAAACCGGCCTGGTTGGGCTCGGATAGACCGGGCAATTCCCAGTCATCTTATCGGAGAAGTGGGTTCCGTTACACGTGACCGCGAACCAGTTCAGACTGAACAATTCTGTGAACCGATTTAACAAAAATAGGTTCAATTTTTCACCAGTGCAACCAACCAATGAAGGGAGATATTTCTTTTCGATAAATCGCATCAGGCGTCTACATATATCAGATGATCATAGTACATATATCTGATTGACTGATTAAAGCTCAGCTAGTAACGTTGACAGGGGCGAGCAGAGCAAACGAATATGACAAGGCTGTAGTGATAGTTGTGGGTAGGGGTGAGAAGACAAAGGTTAATTTGGACAACGTTGGAGAGAGATGAGCAGATGAAAATGAAGGTTGTGAACTAAGAAGAGAGCGGGATTAACTTACG